GGGGTTTGATCCCTGTACGGGCCAGCTGCCAAAAAAAAAAAAAAAAAAAAACAACTTGTAAAGTGCAGCTGAAGTGATAGAAAGAAATTTAAAGCCTTAATTATAGCTGTATTTCACAAGTTTTGATTGGCTTCTATGCTTAATCCATTCTAAATGTTTCATAAGGCACATTATTTCTTCTTACCTCATAAATGATTTAGGAGTGTGTTTTTTACTTTCAAACATATGATGGGGTGTGGGTTTTGATTTGGGGGTTTTTGTATTTTTTAAGCATTGATTTCTAATCTTAGTCAGTTGCCAGTAGAGAAATGATCTGTATGATGGCATTATTTGGAATTTGCTAAGATTGCCTTTGTAGCCTATAATACATTTTTATGCATGTTCCAGAGATACTTGAAAGAAGTATGAATTCTCTGAGTGGAGGTTTTATATAGCTCTCTGTTGAAGCCAGTTAATAAACAATGTTATTCAAACCTTCTTTCTACTTTCATGTATGTGTGTGTGCATGTGCTTAATCACTCAGTTCTGAGAGCAGTGTGTTAAAATCTGCTCATCTGTTCTCTTAATTTTTCTTTTCTGTTTTGTACAAACCAGTTCTTATTACCACCTAGTACCCAACCCGGCTACAACAAAGCTGGGCAATGGAGACCTGGCCCTGCCCGTTCCCGCTTTGCCTTGTAGGGTGCTTGAAGACGAGATTGAACAGCTTCGAGATGAGCTCAGGGAAACAGTCGATGAGAATGGGCGATTGTATAAGCTGCTGAAGGAAAGAGACTTTGAAATTAAACACCTCAAAAAGAAAATAGAAGAGGACAGATTTGCCTTCACAGGTAGCTCCACCATTTTTGCAGTAGTCCCTGCCCTGAAGTCCAGAGACTTCAGTCAGGGTAAACACAGGTTCCGGAGGCAGGTGCCCAAGAGAGAGTACCAAGGGTCAGCGTGGTCAGGCTTGTCCAGATGAGTCCTGGAAATGAGGGAGAGGGTAGATAAGAGCTCCCGGGGGGCCAGCATGCCAGAAAATGGAAGTGCAAGGAACAGTCGGGACAACAGGGCAGTTGGCAAGCATCTGGACAATGTTGGTGACCCAGCTGGGACTCTTGACAAGGGTTTTTCGTCATGCTCACAGCATGTTTGGTGGACTGGCAGGGTCCATTTCTTCTTGGTGTTCTGGCTTGGACGTTGTGTTGTCAATGTAAAAAAGCCTCAGTAGGCATTAACTCTACAGCACCTGCTTTTGGTACTCCAGAAAGGTAGACAAGACAGGGAAGTCAGCTGTTCTAGCAGGATTTCCTGGGACCCAGCTGCCTTCAGCAGGGTCCGGGCTGAACATTGGCTCTGCAGTTATGAGTTTGACCTTGGCCCTGCCGATCTGGTGGGGACCTAGGCCTTGGCTGTGCTCTGCTACGTGTACATCCATTGAGCAATTCCCAGGTGGCTAAAAATCAGAAAGTAGATGTCACCAGTCACACGGAGCAAAGGGGTTGACCCAGCATCTGCCAGAGTATCCCTCCCTGCCTTTGAGAGTAAATGTTTTTGAGGGTAGATATACCCATAGAACCAAAGCTCCAGTCAGTCAGTGCTGAACTAAAAAGCAAGGAAAATTTGGTATCCCAAAGGCCCTTGATAGTCTAATGCACCTACCTCCATTCTTTGGCCTTTTCTGTCTAAAACAAAAAATACACTGAAAAGGCTTTGTGTTGTGAGGAACACTCTCAACCTGGCTCAGGATTCAGCTGTGGGAGGGGCAGCTTACACTTTTGCAAGGCTGTAGAGAAGCTGACGGGCTCCAGGGGGAGCAGGAGATACATCTCCACCACCACCCCCGACCTCCCCCACCCCCC